GTGCGCGCCGCCGGGGAAGGCCGCCGTTGCCCCTCGGCACTGGCCCCGCTCCGGTGGCCCTGGCCTGCGGGCCCGGGCCCGCCCCTCCCCGCGGGTTGTGGTGAAGGAGTTTCGGAGCACCAAGAAGGTACCGAAACTGCAGGGTTCTCACTCGTCGGGTCCTGGGAGGCGCTGCTCGTTCGGCACCGTTTCGGCACTCCTCTGGGTGCACGGAACTATTGCGAAGGCCTTACGGCCGGTGCCGCCGACCCTGAAGACGGCGACGACGAGGACGACGAGGATGTTGAGAAGCAGGTGGCGGAGGACGCTAGGGAGCAGGAGCGGCGAGGAGGAGGAGGAGGAGGAGGAGGAGGAGGAGGAGGAGGTGGAGGAGGAGGAGGAGGAGGAGGACAAGGAGGGGGGGGGAGAGGGACGAGGAGGGGAGGAGGGGGGGGGGAGCAGGGATCCCCCCTGTAGGAGGACACGCCCGACCTAACGCTGGGCCTGCCAGGAGCCCACGAACGTGGCGACACGTGCACAGCTGGCAGCTCCCCAGGGCGCTGCGGGGTCTCGTCTGGGTCCCGCGCCCCCCCACGCTCCGCTGGGCTTGAGTCGGGCATGTCCCTCTACAGGAGGAATATCCAAAAATAAATCCATCTGTAGGGGGGCACGCCCGACCTAAGGCTGGGCCTCCCAGGAGCCCACGAAAGTGGCAACATTTGCCTGGCTGGCAGCCCCCCAGCGAGCCGGGAGGTCTCGTCTAGGTCCGCGTGCTGTAGGCTCGCGTCGTGTCGACTGGCGGCGACCTCGCCGCCCGCGTTCCACGTTGAACGCCACCTGCGACCCAGAAGCGGTCGATCGTTCAAGGTACGTAGCACCCCGCAATTCCGGAAAAGAGTGAGGGGGCGGGCGCGGGCGACGCGGGCGTCGAGCCGGCGGACCGCCGCAGGCGCCGAAGTTTTGGCTTGTTCAGTGAACGTAGTTTTGGTCGCGGGTGGGTCGCGGGCTCTCCACCTCCACCTGGAAAGAATTCAAAAAACAGCCCGCCGCAGGCGCCGAAAATTTTGATTTGTACACTGAACGCGGTTTGTGTCGCAGGTTCTCCATCTGGAACGAATGCACAAGAAACCCGCCGCAGGCGCCGAAGTTTTGGCTTGTTCAGTGAACGCAGTCTGTGTCCTGGATGGGTCGCAGGCTCTCCACCTCCACCTGGACGGAATTCAAAAACAGCCCGCCGCAGGCGCCGAAAATTTTGATTTGTACACTGAACGCGGTTTGGGTCGCGGGTGGGTCGCAGGGTCTCCACCTGGAACGAATGCAAAAGAAGCCCGCCGCAGGCGCCGAACATTTTGGGTGGGTCGCGGGTGGGTCGCGGGTGGGTCGCGGTAGGTCGTGGACGCGGTTTGGGTCCCCGGTGGGTCGCAGGTTCTCCACCTAGAACGAATGCAAAAGAAACCCGCCGCAGGCGCCGAAAATTTTGGGTGGGTCGCGGGGTGGGTCGCGGGTGGGTCGGGGGTGGGTCGCGGTGTGTCGCGGGTGGGTCGCGGGTGGGTCGCGGGTGGGTCGCGGGGTGGGTCGGGGGTGGGTCGCGGGCGGGTCGCCGGTGGGTCGCGCGGGTGGGTCTCTGGGGGGGGGTCTCGGGATGGATCGCGGGCGGGTCGTGGAGTGGGTCGCGGGCGGGTCGAGGGTGGGTCGCGGGTAGGTTGCGTGGCGGGTCGCGGGTGGGTCGCAGGGTGGGTCGCGGGTGGGTCGTGGGTGGGTCGCAGGTGGGTCGAGGGTGGGTCGCGGGGCGGGTCGCGGGTGGGACGACGACAACAACAAACAACAAACAACAAACAACAAACAACAAACAACAAAGACAACAACAACAACAACAACAACAACAACAACAACAATCACTTTACCCGAACGCTCAGTGTTCTCACCAGTGCCAGGGTTTTCATGCGACGCCAGCCAATACCCCCACTTTGTGGGGGGGCAGTGCAAGCTCTACCAAATATCCACACGACTCTTCGCCACCACCCACACCCAGCTTCCCGCCCTATGACGTTCGGACACTTCACTTCGTGGCCTGCGGACGACCGTGGCTACTACACTGGCGTGGAGTACACACCCACAGAAGTTGTTAAGCCTACGTTCGTACACCCACAGAAGTTGTTAAGCCTTGTTAACCCACAGAAGTTGTTAAGCCTTCCACAGAACATCTGTTGCATATGATGCATATGGTACATGATACACATGATACACATGATACGTACTCACAAGATAGTTGATCACATCTTTAGGGCAAATTCCTGAGGGATGTGGGAATACACAAGAGAGAGAGGATATGGTTGTCCCGATGGTTGTCTCGATGGTTGTCCCGATGGTTGTCCTGATGGTTGTGGTTGTCCCGATCGTTGTCCCGATGATTGTCCCGATGGTTGTCCTGATGGTTGTGCTTGTCCCGATCGTTGTCCCGATGACTGTCCCGATGATTGTCCCGATGGTTGTCCCGATGGTTGTTCCGATGGTTGTCCCGATGGTTGTCCCGATGGTTGTGAGCGATGCCGGATCCTCACGCCCCCCGCCGGAGGAGGAGGAGGAGGAGGAGCAGGACAAGGAGGAAAGGAGAGAAGAGAGAACGGAAGGAGGGGCGGGAACGGCGCTTGCACGCCCACCCACCGTCTTTTCCCCGCCGCGGCTCTAAAGAGACGAGTTCGTGTGCTCGTCATCTTCTGGCATACGCCCGTCCCTGATGGCACGGATGGGGCGCAATGCTGCCAGCTGGGCTCCTGGCAGAAATACATCAGGTGCCAAGTGTCCAAGCATGGTGCCGATACGCCTCCTCACGGATACATCGCCCGTGCGTGCGAGGGACGTTTTATTCTCGGCGGCCGAGGGCGCAACCTATGGCGCAACCGCAAGGGATTGTGGCCCCTGGCAGGCGCGCGAACCCCGTTGCAAGAGCGTGCGAAAGTAGCTCGCGCGAGCTCATGTAACATAAATGTTGGAAAACCATTGGTTTTTTTAGGATTCGGACAGCGCGCGCGGGTAGAAATTTTGAAAAGTCGTGCAGGTGTTTTTCGAGGACCTACGGTGCGATTCGTGTGATTTTATGATGCGCGGTGCTAAAATTCTTAAGAAGCCCAATGGTTTTTGGAGATTTCGGCGTGCGCGCGCGAAGAAAAAACGAATGTGTCCCGCATGGTATTATTTGACAGGGATGATGGCCCTGGCAGGTGCGCAACCGTTGTCGCAGAAGTTCGAAAAAGTTGCTCGCAAAAGCCCGTTTGACAGAAATGTTTAAAAAGTGTTGGGTTTCCTACGAATCCGCAAGAGCGCGCGGGATGAGATTTTGACAATTTTTTGTTGAAAAACCATTGGTTTTTTGATGTTTTTATGTTAAAATCGCTGCGAACACTAAGGTTTTGGAAGGATTTCGTCTTGCGCGCGCGAATGTCCACTTTACCTTTTTTTTGCAAGGGATTCTTGAAATTTGATTATATTAGAACAAGAAATGTCATTTTCTATTGTTTTTTGCAAGGGAAAGCGGATTACAACAAAACAACCGGATCCTGTACACACCCTCTTTTCTGAGGCTTCCTCACGAAAATGATGAAAATGTAGCTGCGGCCTAGGCGGCGCAGGGGGGGCGCGCACCAGGGGGCCCAACAATAATTATTCTTTAGAATAAATAATGTTCAACAACAACAATTACTAGCACGTGGGGACACTCCGTTCTCACCAGTGCCAGGGTTTTCATAGGAGGCGGGCAATACCCCCACTTTGTGGGGGGGCCGGTTCAAGCTCTACCAAATTTCCAAACGACTCTTCGCCACCACCCACACCCAGCTTCCCGCCCTATGACGTTCGGACACTTCACTTCGTGGCATGCGGACGACCGTGGCTACTATTCAGGGCCCCGCGGCCGACGACGACGGCGTGCGCGCGCGAAGAAAAAACGAATGTGTCCCGCATGGTATTATTTGACAGGGATGATGGCCCTGGCAGGTGCGCAACCGTTGTTGCAGAAGTTCGACAAAGTTGCTCGCAAAAGCCCGTTTGACAGAAATGTTTAAAAAGTGTTGGGTTTCCTACGAATCCGCAAGAGCGCGCGGGATGAAATTTTGACATTTTTTTTTTGAAAAACCATTGGTTTTTTGATGTTTTTATGTTAAAATCGCTGCGAACACTAAGGTTTTGGAAGGATTTCGTCTTGCGCGCGCGAATGTCCACTTTACCTTATTTTTTGCAAGGGATTCTTGAAGTTTGGTTATGTTAGAACAAGAAATGTCCACTTTAGCTTATTTTTTGCAAGGGAAAACCGATCGTAACAACACAACCGGATCCGGACCCCCCGTTTTGCCTGAGACTTCCTCACGAAAATGATGAAAATGAGGCTGCGGCCTAGGCGCGGCGGGGGGGTCGTGCACCAGGGGCCCCAACAATAATTATTCTTTAGAAGTAATAATGTTCAACAGCAACAACAACAACAACAACACCAACAACAACAACAACAACAGGAATCCGCATCGCGGAATACCATTTCAGCCACGCACCCAGGGACAGTGAATGACCGTTCGGTTCATCCCCCTCACTCTGATAACAATCCCCGTGGTGTCCAAAACCAACGCCCCAGTCGGCACGACACGACCCCGCCGTGCCCATTTCGGGCCTTAGCTGCCTCGATACGCCCGTTTTGTTACGCAACGCGTACCGTGCTCAAAACGTCCGTGTCAATACGTTGCGTGTTGGTTCAACGTAATTATTTGCCCACGTTCCACCGTCAACGCGCCTAGTAAGGACGCGCGCCTTCATCTAGGGCAGCCTTGTGTCCTTGCCTCTGCGGCCAGCCCTTTACCGTTTTCACTGGTCGCCCGCCGCCCCAAAAGTCCCAGCTTCGTTCGGAATCCAGGGGTCCTGCGTCCTTGCCACCCGTCCCTAATGTTCGTTTTGGGTGCACGTCGGGCGCACAGAGCTTCGCGCGGTCTTCTGCCATCTTGCCCCTGCCCCCGGCGGCGCGGGGGGCGGGGCCGCAGGCGCAGCGGCGCGCTGCAGGACGCCACCCCGCCGCCGCTGCGCCGGTACGCGACCGCCTTCCCCGGGCACTGCAGGCGTGCCGCGAGCACCCACTTCGTTCAGGGGCGGCGTGAACCCCTGAGGATCTTTAGTTTTGCTCCCCCCCTGTTTCTTTCGGTGGGGAATAAGACTCGTCCTTCCTCTTCCAGTTGTCGTCGTCGTCGTCGTCGTCGTCATCGCAGTCGTGGTCATCGTCGTCCTTGTTGCGCGGCGGGTGCCGTGGAGAACTAATCAGTTCCCTATATTGGTGGGAGCTCAGTCCGTCAATAAGGGCGTCGAAACGAGAACTAGTTTCTACGACTGGTAAGACTTTTAGGGGTTAGGGAGGGGGTGAGGCAACCACAATGGCCGAAGATGCCTCGAAGACGGTCCAAGCGGGTCCCAAGTCGGCCGGATTTGGCCTCGAACTGGCTCTATCTACTTCCATGGGTGCCCAGCATGAACTCACGAGGGCCCCCAACAGAGTCCGAAGAAGCCCAAGTGAGGGGGATGGGCTCAGGGGGAACGGCTTCGGGGCTGGAGGCTTTCGCGCGTTGGCGTCGCTTCTCGGCGCTCCTCCAGCCTCGGGACGCTGTCCAGCGGCTGCGCATCGCCGAGGGCCTCCCGGGGGTGGCCCAGAAGAGGTTTCGAGCGGCCGCGGGAGACCCGAGCTGAACGCCGGGCCAGGAGGGTATTCTGGGGATGGGCTCCGGGGGGGGAGCGCATCGACCCCCACCGCCGATGGGGGGCCAATGGCCCACCCCGCCCAGTACAGTCGGGGCCCTGAAGAAGGAACCCTTTTCGTTGGGGAGGGGCTCGGTGTTCCTTGTGCGTTTCAAAGTTTACCTCGGGTTTTCCTGAGGTGTTCCATGGGAAATCGAGGTTGAACTTATGGGAAAAGGGGCCTCGTTCCTTATGTAGGGTTCCTCAGGTCAAGGCCCCGACTGCAGCGTGCAGATTCGCTATCGGAGGCCCATCGCCGATCTGTCGGAGATGCCTCGGCCCGGCAGGCGTGCCGCTGGCGCCCGCCTCGTCGGCCGTCTGCGGGGGGGGGGGGCTTCAGTCGGTGCGGCGGCCACGCCGTGTGTCCGCATCGTCTGGCCGATCCCAGGGCTGGACCTAGACGGGGTTTTTGGCGATCTCGTGGGCCGTTTTCGTGTCAGCTTAGTTTTTCGGTATACAGGCGGATTCGATACGAAAAAAGCGAGGGAGTGCGGGAAAGGCGGGTTCGAGACAACAGCGAGGGAGAACGAGAACGAAACGAAAACGAAAAGCACCGTTCAGGCTCAGCCCTGGCCGATCCCCGTGCGATGGCCCCAGCGGGCCATGGCCTCCGGTGCTGGACCACTGGGCCTAATTGGGGGGTTCCCTCTACAGGAGGAGAGTTCAAAAATAGTAGTACATAATAGTCTGGGGACGATTTGTTTACCATTCTTGATGTTTTTCCATATTTGTCATATATTTTTGTTTTTCGCCCAAAATCCTCCTGTAGTGGGACACGGCCGACCTAACACTGGGCCACGGTCACAATGTTGACGCGGACACTGTGGTCGTGGTCTGGTTCGGTGGTCGTGGTCACACATGGCGCAATTGTCGTCAGCACGCGGCGCGGCGACCAGCGGTCGTCAGCAGCGCACGGTGCGGAGACCATTGGGCCATGGTTCCGCATCCCAGGTGGGGATAGGTCCCGCGAGTCCCGAAGGGAGGGAGCAGCACACACACAAACAAATCCACACAAACACACACACACACACATCTAGTATACGTATACTATATATACATGTATATATATATAGATATATATATATATATATATATATCCTCTTGGGGGATGACTAAGTCGGCCAGTGTGGCCAAGGCCATGCCAGTGGGGATGGGGATCGGTTGGACGATATTCAGTGTGGCGAATCAGTGGGGATTCGGGTGACCACACGGATTTGGGACTCGGGTCGTTCTCCGAGGACGCTTCGGGCGATTGGGGACTGCAGGAATTGCCCGCTGGATATTCCATGATTTCTGACACCTACTTTGAGCCAGTCGCATCATGACGTGGCACTTGTCCTAAGAAGGCCCACTATGCAGTAACAATCCCATGCCAGAAGTCTGAGCATCCACTGGTGACAGTTCTGAAGCTGTGGACCAGGGGCGTATCATGGCGCCTCCAGACATCTCGAGACTTCCGACGGTCATCTTGATGGCCAGCCCAGGTGACCTGAGGCACATGATACCTCTTGGCGTGATTACTGTGATTATGTCGGTTCGGTTCGGTAGGTTGTTGTGCCGCTGCGTTCTTTCAGGATGTTCCCGGCCTGCCAGTTTGGGTTTAGGCGTCGTTATCGTTTTGGCATGGCATGTCTTCGATTGTTGTGTCGTCGCTGTCGTCCATGAGCAGGGAGGAGGGGACAAAGAGGAGCGAAGGTGGAGGAGCCAGTGGGAGTGCACGGCGCTTTTCTGGAGTTCCCCGCGAAAATGTTGGAAGCATACGCGACCGCACTGGATGAGGCGCCTCAGGAAGCCGCAGCACTGCCGATGCAGGGCAGATTTGGCTGAAGCGTGAGGCTTCTATTTCAACTAAGAGAATGAGAGGGAGGCCTCGAGGACCCTTCTCCTTAAAGGCGACCTGGGGGCGGGGGTCGAAAGTCCCCTCCCCCCCAACCCCGACCTATCCAGCGGACCAGGAGCCCAACTAGCCGTGGCTCGGGTCGGACGGAAAGGGGGGGATAGGGAAAGGAGGGGATTATGATATCTGCTGCGTGCAGCTCGTTTCGGCCCCGCCGCCGGGCGATTTCCTCGATACTTACGTGTTGTGCCTCCAGCGCAGAGAAGCGCTGGGAGACTCAGCTGCGGAAGCCGATTCGCTACCCCCCCGCCCTTTTACACCCTCTTGGCATTAGGTTGTTGCGCTCTCTTCCCCCTCACCAAAAATTGCGCTGCCCCAGAATTACTTACACCCCCTTTCGTCCGACCCGAGTGGCGAGAGGAGCTGCGGAGGCCCACGGAATACGACGGACGCCCGCGAACCTCGACCCCTCGAACTTACAGCAGCCTTTCCACCTCCTCCTTATCCTTCCCCTTCCCCATTCCTCCTCCAGCTCCTCCTCGCTCCTCCTCCTCCTCGTTTTTCCTCCTCCAACTTTTCTTCCTCCTCGTTCCTCGCTCCTCCGCCCTTTCGTTCCCCCTCTTCTCCTCTTCCTCCTTCTCCGCTTCTTCATGTTCCTCCTCCTCCTCCTCCTCCAGCCGTGTCGGGGCCCAGGTTGTCCCGTTGGCCCTTGCGAGCGATCGCTTCGATATTTGTAAGGCGGTTGCGGGCCTGCTTTGGCCACGTGTCTGCGCTCTTCTTCGCATGTCCCCATGCAGCTATGATGACACGCCGTGGCATGGTTCCCACGTGGGACAAAAAAGGTGGCTCCACATGGCACGACGTGAATGAAGGTGGTGGTTGGCAGTATGTCATCAGCCGCAAGTCGAAGAAGGCCAGCCACAGTGGACCCACGAGCAAGTGTGTGCTATGCGGCTGCAACAAGGACGAATCCATGGCGCGGTACTGCAAGCACTGTCGTGCCACGTTTCCCGCTGTTCGGCCCCCTGGTGGTGATCATCCGCTTGGGGTTGGGAGCGCGCCTCTGCCTGGTGTGTTTGCCGCAGATGCCCTTGGTTCAGGTGGGCAGGGAGCTTCACCAGCTGGCGCCTTGCCGCCAGCCCCCCCCCCTGCCAAGGGAGGTGGCGCAGGCGGAGGCCAGAGCGGCAGCAAGGCTGATGGCTCACAGCCAATTCGGGCGGGTCCGCTCCCCAATCTCTCTTTGGAGGACGCGCGGCAAATCGCCACATTGTCGCACAAGCAGGTGATTTGGACAACTGCAAGCGGTACGACTTTCTGGTCTCTGAGCTCCACTCCGCGCTCAAGCCTCAACCTGTACTTATCCACCAACGCATCCAGTCAGCCCATGCCGAAGTTGGCCGACTGGAGAAGAAGCTCGAGATTGAATGTTGGCGTCTTGCTCAATGGCCTGTTGATGTGGAGCAATACACTAATGTGGGCACGCTCCAGTCTGAGCTGGAGGAGGCGGGCGCCAAGTGCAAGTCGCTGCTCGCTGAGTTGCAAACAGTTGGTCATGCAACGTGCGAGCCGCCCGCCCCTCGCAGGTCTGACCTGACCTGGTCGAGGAGTCTCTTGACGTCAGTCAATTTTCCTCGCTCGACGAGCTGTTAGCAGACGCGCAATTTGACCCAGATATCGGAGAGGGAGACAAAAGAGATATTGACGCACGTAAGAAGTGCTTCGGTGATTCGATTCAAAAGATGGCGCGAGATGTGCTCCGTCCTCTTGCGGAGTAAACGCGCGGTGCTCGTGGCGCCCACATGAGGCATCTTCTACGTTTGGCTGCGAAGCGCCGTCGGTGCGACCATGGCGCTGGCGGTGGAGGCGAACCCCCCGGCGCGCGACGGCCCGCCGTTGCTGCCGCTGCTGGAGGGGGTGGTGGTGGAGGCTTGTCTGAGCCCAAGGCCGCATCTGCCCCTGCTTATTGCGCAAGTGGGAGCAAGCCTGCAGTCGACGCGCGCGAGAGAACAAAGCCCTTAGTCTCCCAGGGCCCCCCCGCCCCCCCGCCGGCAAGGCATGCCTTGCCGGCGGGGGCTGGTTTCCAGCGCGATGGCGCCGGGGGCGCCGGTGCCCGCGCGTTCCCCAGCGACTAAGAATAGAGGTGCTCGGCGGGAGATCTCGCTAGGTGCCGCGCTGCCTTTGAGAGGCGCTGGCGCCGCCTGCGGATCTTCATCGACAACCTCAGGTTTCGGTCTCCGCTGGCCCTCGGCGGACCTAGGGCTAAAACTGCAAGGGCCTGTCGGTTCGCCGAGTCTGGGCCCGGGCCCCCGGCCCCCCCCCCCCCCTTCCACGACCCCCGACCCAGCCCTGGAACAAACTGTCAACATTGCGCCGTGGAACCGCAGTCTGATGGGCGCCCCAAATCATGGCCGCCTATACGCGGCGCGCGCGTTCCGTTGGTTCAGGAACACCACCCTCTAATGCACGTGATTGAGGAGGCGGCGGGATGGGCTTGCAGGCGCGGGCGGAAGGCCATCCTTCGCCCCGCTGCGAGGCACTTCGGCTGGGGTTGGCATGCTGGCACGGTCCTAGCTCGGCTCGCCCCCCCCCGCGCGCCCCCCTGGCGGTCGTCTCATTGCTCCGCGTCGCATGCGCTTGGGGCGACCGCGCACCTACCTGGTGATTGTGAGCAAGTCTTCATGTGCAGCGCCTACCTGCGCGTCTCGGAAGGCTTATCCGCTGCGAACATTGAGCTGCTTGCCCGCGCTGGCGCAGTTGCAGATGGACTAGCCATGCCTGCAATCACCGGCACTGGCTTTAACAATTACTTCAGATGTTCTCTCTTCGTCGGACCTCGTTAACACACTCCTCGCGCAATTGATCGCCCCTTACACAACCAACCAACGCGCGATGCCAATGTCCTGGATTATTTGTTGGACCCCAGCGGGCTAGCGAAAGGTTCATCTAAGGCGAACGTGGTGCTCAACTGCAACATCTTTGCGCGCCCCCCTGTGCAGCTCGCGCTTCGCGCCGGCATTGGCCGTTCGCGTGGGCCCCTGCAAAGGAAGCCTCCTCCTCGGCCAGCGCCAGTTCCAGTTGGCCCTGTTCCGCTGCCGCCGTCTTGGGTGGGGGCGCAAGCTGCGGCTGGCGACGCTCTTCGTTCCTGCCCCAGCCGCGACGCTGGCGGCGCCCAGCAGCGGCTAGGTGAGCCATATCGCGCCTGGGCCAATCTCTCGGACGCGGAGGTGCGCAGGGTCGTCCCGAGCTCTGGGGGCGCGCTGCCCGCCCCTGAAACCCCCGCTCTTGCTTTGCGCCGGCATGGGTGGGCATTCAGTTCAGCTGTGTCGGGTGCAAAGTTGTCTGGGTCAAGCGTGGCGGCTTGTCAGTCGAAGTGTCATTTGGCTTTCTCCCCGTACCAGGCCCTTCAAATAATGGAAGGAATGGCTTCTTGAACCCGCCGTTCAAGGTGCCGGGCGCGCCCGCCAGCGCGCGCGAGGGAGTGGCCCCTGACGGCCAACTACAACTCTCAGCAGAGATGACGCAGTCACATCTGATTCACTGGCTCTGCCCTCGACTGATGCTGCGACGTTCAGCGGACGGTGGCAGGCTAATGCCATGTGCTTTCCTTGCGGGTTTCACATGAAGCATTGCGTTAGATTGTCTGATGGCTCGCTGGGGCTGCTTGCCATGGCGTTTGCTATCGTAGAGTCTTCTTGGCCGTTTCCTGGGCAGGCCTCCCTGGCGGTCCTTCCTCTGATCCGCAAACAGTCTTGAAGGTTTCCGGCCAATGGGGGCAGTTTGGTGGGAAGCGAAGGTTAAGCGCAAGTAGTTCGCTGGCTCGCCATTCTCGCGGACAGTCGATGTTATTCGGAGGCCGAGCATGCGCGCTGAAAGTGCTTTTAAGCAGGGGGTTGCGATCGTTACGATTCTCTTGGATTTGTTCCAGCGCTTCTTAGCTGTTCATTTGTCTGCGCTCCTTCAGCGGTGCGTCAGCTGTATGTTCTCAGTGCAGATTGCTAGGCTTGCCGCGAGTGCTCATAGTGATGCCAGAGTTGCGCACCTTTCGAACGCGCTTGCAAGCGCCTTCTACGCCGTGAGCGGGGCGATCGCAGGCCGCGGGCTCGCCGCCACGATGGCGCGCAGCCACGCCGTCGAGGCGTTGGATGGGCTCGCACTTCTTGCCGAGGTCAGCCTGGACATTCGCATGGCCGGGTCGGGCCTCAGCTCCTCGGGCGCCACTGCTCAAGTCGTCGGTCGTCTGAGCGAAGCTGCCCCGCTGCCCCGGGGACAGGGTCTCTTTGTAGATCAATTGTTCCCCGGTCAGCCTTGGGATTGACTAGCCGCGGGCCCCGCCTCCTCGTCGCGATGAGAGAGGCGCCAAGTTCCGGGCCAGGCGCGCGCTGGTCGACGAGAAGCCGAAGAGGCTAAAGCGCGCGAGGCGTGCGATTGGCAGGTCGGCACTGAAGGTTTTCGTAGCTGGGCCGCTGCCCAGCGCCACAATCGGCGCTGAAGTTCACGGTGAGCCCCCCGACGGATTGGCGCAATACGCAGGTGGCAGCGGCCAGCGCATGGCAGCCCTCTGCCAGGATGAGGTCAATGACCTCCCTCTCAGTGTTCTCGCAGGACCCAGCCTGGCATCCTGCCGCGGCGCCGACTGCTCGCTGCGCGAAGGAGATCTGGGCTAACCAGACTGAGATGTCCCTTTGCGTCGCCCCCTCGCCCGAGCCGCGGCGCCTGGGCGCCCAGGGCCCAAAACGTGGCGCGGAGTCGTTTCTCTGGGGGTTATGAGCAAGAGCCTCGATGTCCAAGACCATGCGTTCGCGGGTGGATTTTGCACCCCATCGCACTGTGCCAGAGCTCCCCGGGGCTGGGTGGGGAGCGGTGTTGGTAGATGATGATGGCAGCGGCAGAGCGCGCATTCGCTGCCCACTGTGGGCTCCTGATCTGCAGACGGCCCAGGGTGGGGGGGTGCTTATGTTGTCGCTGCGATGCGCGTTCGTCGGGGAAGCGCCATCTACTCTGATTGCAAGAATGTTGCGGTCTGTCCTACATGCGCGCATTATGGCGTTCGTCTCCCGGCCCGCAGGGGGGCCCTGGATGGGGCCCCCTTAAAGTCAAGGCGCATGTGGAAGAACCAGGGGACCTCAACGTGCAGCTGATTTTCTTTAGCTGGGAACGACCTGGCTGAGCCAGTTGCGAAGACCACGGCCCTCAGATGCCCCCGGTCCGCGCCTGAGGATGTCGCCTGGCTTGCGCGAGACTCAGAGTCTAATGCGTTGTGCGCCTGTCAGCTAGGTTGCCCCCCTGTCGGCCAAAGCTTGATTTGGAAGATCTGCCTCTTATTGAGCCGCCTGCTGTGACCAAGCCACCGCCTGCGCGGGGGCCAACTCGTGACTGGAAACCTGTGTTGGAGGACTAGGAACGCACGTTCTGTCCGAAGGTCAGCAGAGGCGCGCCAGCCACCAAGAGCAGGCCTGTGGTTGTTGGGTATGTTTGGCAGAGCGTCTGGGCCGGCGACCCCCCGCCTCCTGATGTTTGTGCTGGCTTCGAAAAGTTTGCCCCTGCTCAAATTGCTAGTCTCCAGCACCGCTGCGTCGCCTTGAATGCTCTGGCGGCGCGGTGGTGGAGGTGCAAAGCTTACACTTGGCATGGACAGCCGAGAAACCTTCTGAAGCGATGTGGGGAGGCGCCCCCGTCTGGATGCGCCAAGTCTGCGCGGGTAATGTTTGCAAAGGCAGGCGCCCCAAGTTTTCGGGAGTCACGGCGCAGCGCGGCCCATGGACTACAGACTTTCGGCCCCCGTCCAGGTGTAGCTTGCATCCCCTTGGGCGCCAGGTGCGCCTGTGAAGGCCGCCCGCCACGGGTCTCGGCGCCGTGGCCCTCCCCGTCGGGGCCCACCGCCACCCGTGACCGCGCTCGAGCTCTGGCCTCGATTGGGTCGAGGACGGCACGCCGCTACCAGCCATGTTGCCTAGGGTTTGTTTTGCGCGCTGCCGCGTCGCTCGCTCGTGGTGTGAGACTCATTCGATCTTGTGGGGATGCCTTCATGGTGCCGTCACACGCCGTGAATCCAGGCGGAGCCGTCCTTACATTTTTTCCTGCGCTGTGTTGTTGAATGTCTAGCTTCAACCGCTCCGCTTTTTGAGGGAACTTTCCAGGTTGCGCTCGCAACTGGTTGGTGGGACCTCCCAGCTGGAGGTGCCTCGCTGTCATCCTGGTTGAAGTCGAAAGATCCTCATCATCACCATCTTTACCCCCATCGACATCATCATCATCATCATCATCATCATCCTCATCATCATCATCATCATCATCATCATCATAATCTTCATCCGCATCATCATCATCACCATCATCGTCCTCCTTTCCTCTCCTCCTCTTCCTTCCTCCTCTTCCTCCTTCTCGTGCTCTCTCTTCGCTTCTTCTTCTTCTCCTCCGACGTCTCCTCTACCCTCCTCGCCCTTCCCTCCCCCTTCCAGCCAGGGGCGCCAGCGCCCCCATCGCCCGCCCGCTCCCCCCCCCCCCCCTCCGCGCCCCCGAGCGGAGGCACCCGCGGGACGATCGGCGGATGGTGACCGCGTAGCTCCCGAGCGCGCGGGCGGACCGCTGAGGCCGCGTTCTTCGCCGCCGCCCCGCCGCCCTCTCCGCAGGTGGCTGGGACGGTGGCGAGTCCTCGCCGTCCTCTGCCAGTTTCTGTGCCCCCGCCCCGCTGCCCAACGCGCGGGCGGGCAGCGCCAGGGCCTTGTTCTCGAGTTCCGAAGATTGGTTCTGGAATTCAAAAAAAACGGTGGTGTTTGAATTCGAAGAGCGGTTTGTTGAATTCCAAAACTAGTTTTCGGAATTAAGCATTGAGCTGCTCTTTATTCGAAAACCAGTTTCTTGAATCCAAAAACCAGTTTTTTCTCAGAAGCCACGTGTTGAAGCCGAGGCCTTCTTGTCCCAGACCGTTCGCGGGGAAACTCTGGATCAGAGCCAGGCCCGCCCGTCGGCCCGCCGCCTCACGGCGCGCCTCGCGCGCGAGGACCCGACCAGAGAGAGATTTGCGTGGAATTCCGACACATCTGTTTACGCGTGTGTTTCGTATTCCATGATTCCGCCTCCCTCTCGTTTGTCGTCGGTTTTCTTCTCAGCGCTCTCCAGTCGTCCCCCCCCGATCCGCGCCCTTGTGTCCAATTCCCTCCGGTTGTCCTCTTTATCTTACAGTGGAGAACCCATGCTGAGAAACACCCTGCCCGCCTCCAGGGTGCCCTGGGTTTCTTGGGTTTCGATGGTTTTTCGATGGAAAGCGTGACGTCCCCACACCAAAAAAGCAATGGACGTCCTGGGGTCTCAGGATTGGGTGTCTTGTGGAAGGTTTCTTGTGGACTGGCCTCCACTGTGCTACCCGCCCCGCCGCCCGCGGGCGCGGGGAGATGCCAGGGTGCCGAGCTGGCCCCTGCCGGAAGTACATTTCAAGTCCTCGGTGTCCCAGCCTTCCGCGGCGGCCGAACAGCCGCGCAGCGGAAGGAGAAGTGGGCGGCTGGCGAGCTCGGGCCGTTGAGCCGTTTCTGCGTGCAGGGTGGAGGGGAGGGGGAGGGGGACAAGGTAGGTGCGCTCGCGTCAACATCTGACATCCTACCCCTCCCTCCCATCCCTTACCATGGCGCTGATTTTCTCTATCCGCGGACGCGTGTCGTAGCGGACCTGTGGCTCCGCGCGCGTGTGCGTAGTGGGTGGTGGTGCGCGTGCGTGCGTGCGTGTGTGCGTGGTTGTGGTTGTTGTGGTGGTGGTGTGTATGTGTGTGTGTGTGTGCGTGTGTGCGCGTGTGCTGTGGTGTGACGTGGTGTGGCGTCTTGGTGGTTTGGTGGTGGGCCAGGTGCGTACGTGCGTGATGGCGGTGGTGGTGGTGCGGTGGTGTGTGTGTGTGCGTGTGTGCGTGTGTGCGTGCGTGCGTGCGTGCGTGCGTGCGTGTGTGCGTGTGTGCGTGTGTGCGTGCGTGCGTG